AAACTAAACATTTACAAAAAGGCATCCACACTGAAACTTGTGTGTATGAAATCTATGATACAAATGAGTATGAAACAAATTCTAACAAATTAATGAAAGACCTTTATATAGCATAGCCAATTACTTGCTCACAATCTGACAGATGCTGGTAATTCATCTGAATCTGTATCACCCATAGCAACTGATACAGAGGATGCATAACTACTTAAATCTGAATCATCATTTCTCACTTCCCTATTCTGAGTGTTTCTTTGGTTTACGGAAGAATTTGATTCCCTGTAGGTTTCATTCAAATCAACACCACTATCTAACATTACTCTTTGTTCTTTTGTAATGTTACCTTTACTGTCTGTAATTGTATAAATCTGAGTACAATTATTCTGAGCAGAGTTTAGGTTTGAATTTACTACAGAAGCATTACAGTTATAATTAACAGCACTAGCATTATCATGAGAAGCATTATCATTAGCACCAGAGGGAGTCCACTGGGGGTAGCATGCAGGAGGAACTTTTGAAATGTCAGGCAGGCTGAAGGAAACATTTTGTTGAAGTGGCAGGTCCTTCACAAAAGTGGAAGGGGATCCATCTTTCTTGGCTTTGGTGAGCCTAAGCTCCTTGTTGGAAGCACTCTTTACCTGTTTGGAGAGACCACAGCACGTATTTGCCACACATCCGTCCTTGTCCTTGGAGGGACAGTCTAGAATACAGTCTTCGGCAGAGTCTATTGAGGCTGAGGCACCATCATCTTCGTATTCCACAAACTCAGGCTGTATAGTAGTGGAGTGAATGCCTTCTTCATGGAACATCTTCTTGATCTTTTCTGCTAGGACCATATAGTCCTTCAAGTTGCGACACCTGAAAGACAAGAAGTTTCACTAAAACCCAAATATTCATCTATCTATTTCTTTTCTTTATGAAAAAAAAAAAAGATTATCAGGAATAACATATAACTATAAAGCTAACTAATGAACTAATCTGATCATGGAACAAGTGTGTATTACACAACTATACAAGATCTGTAATCCAAATCTGAGGATGATTTTGTATACAACTGTAATTTTGTCACGGAAAATATATCTTATATGTATATCTTCTATAGTAATATTATGTAGAACTATCACAAAATGACTTAACATACCCTTAACTTATTTAAGCATCAAGTAATACCACGATTAATAGTACTTAAAATTTGGCAAGCACTAAATATTTTAATTAATTATATAAAAAGCTTGAACAAATGTGAAAGTTATGATCTGAGACATGTAAAAGAAAAATATTGGTTTAATTATTACAAATTTTCTGAATGTTCTTTATCTTTTCTTTAGTTAGATTTGCAAATTGCACAAATCAACAGTGAACATATTAAGCATGATAACATACAAACAAACTTTAATGTACATGTAAGTTACACAGTAGATCTAAGCCAGAAATCAAAATCATACCTGATATGAGCTGAGGCAATTATCCTCTCCCCTGCCAACTGCCAAACATGGAATTCATGCACAGCAAGAACACCATCAACATTTAACAACTGCTTTTGGATGCCGTCAACCTAGAAATGAATAATAATTTAAACATTAATATAACCATACAAAACTCAAATCAGGGGGTAAATTACAGCAAGCTATTCCTTCAGCCAAAAGTAGTTTTTCTCAATACCTGAATGTGAGTAGGAACTGTCTGAAGAAGGATGAGGGCCGAATCCTTCAGGAGAGGCCACGTGCTGCATGTGATGAGGGTGACCAAGGCTAAAGATAGTGCTGGGTCAATGTATTTGGAATATTCCCAATTTGTGAGCCATACGACCAGTGCGCTGATGATCACTATCACAGAGCCTGAAATATAAAAGAATTGTCAAACGTAGTTCTGATTGCTAACCAGTAGTTTCGAAGTTGTTACCACGGTCGAGCTCGAAACTCGAAAACAAAGATCACAATGTAAGTGACAGTGCGACAGGACCCGAGTGTTACCTAGGGCATCCGAAAGAACGTGGAGGAAGACGCCCCTCATGTTCATCTGAGCAGATGCCTCCCTTCTGGGCGTGCCGTTTCCATGTTTGTCGTTAGCACCAACGGAATTGGGCGGTGGAGGCGTAAATCTCTCGTCATTCTCGTTGTCGTCTGTAGCCACGAGGGTGTTAATGGTGGACAGCTTGCTCTTGTGTCCATGGCCGCCGTGGCTGTGGCCGTGGCCTCCGCCTCCATGGCTGTGACCGTGGCCATGCTCTGTTTGAAGGAATAATTGTAGTCTTAACAGAAAAGAGTGACCTTAGCTTTCTAATATTAAATTTCTACTTTACTGATGTCAGACTAAGAACTATAGACATTTCTACATCTAAATACTGCAATATACAGTATGCGCTGCACTTACCATGGAAGAGCCCGAGGCCTATTAAATTCACTACGAGGCCTATTACACCAACCACTAGGATGAGTCTGGGATTATGTAACTCTTCAGTTTCATACAATCTGGAAAGCAAAAAAATAAATAAATAAATAAA